ACGGCGCTGGGGGCGCTCTGCTACGCCGAGCTGGGCGTGGCGCTGCCGCGGCCCGGCGGCGACTACGCCTACGTGGGCCGCGCCTTCGGCCCGCTCCCGGGGTGAGCGCGGCAATTCCCGACCGCTCCCGCAATTCCCGGCGCTTTCCCGGCAATTCCCGGCCGCTCCCGGAATTCCCGGCGCTTTCCCGGCAATTCCCGGCGCTTTCCCGGCAGTTCCCGGTGCTTTCCCGCCAGTTCTGGCGCTTTCCCGGCAATTTCTGGCACTTTCCCGCCAGTTCTGGCACTTTCCCGCCAGTTCTGGCGCTTTCCCGCCAATTCCCGACGCTTTCCCACCAGTTCTGGCGCTTTCCCGGCAATTCCCGGCGCTTTCCCGCCAATTCCTCCCGCTTTCCCGCCAATTCCTCCCGCTTTCCCGCCAGTTCTGGCACTTTCCTGCCAGTTCTGGCACTTTCCTGCCAATTCCTCCCGCTTTCCCGCCAGTTCTGGCGCCTTCCCGCCAATTCCCGGCGCTTTCCCGCCAGTTCTGGCGCCTTCCCGCCAATTCCCGGCGCTTTCCCAGCAGTTCCCGACGCCTCCCGACCGCTCCCGGAATTCCCGACGCTTTCCCGGCAGTTCCTGCCCCTTTCCCGCCACTTCTGGCGCTTTCCCGCCAATTCCCGCCGCTTTCCACCAGTTCTGGCGATTTCCCGCCATTTTGTGGCGGTTTCCCGCCGTTTTTAGTCCATTCCCCGCCAATTCCTGTCAGTTTCCCGCCAGTTCTAGTGCATTTCCCGCCATTTCCTGTTGATTTCCCGCCATTTTGTGTCAGTTTCCCGCCATTTTCTGTCAGTTTCCCGCCATTTTCTGTCTGTTTCCCGCCATTTTCTGTCAGTTTCCCGCCATTTTGTGTCAGTTTCCCGCCAGTTCCGGCACTTTCCCGCCAATTCCTGTCAGTTTCCCACCAATTTCTGTCGCTTTCCCGCCATTTTGTGTCAGTTTCCTGCCAATTTTGGCAGTTTCCCGCCAACTTTGGCACTTTCCTGACATTTCGTGTTGTTTTCCCGCCATTTTCTGTCTGTTTCCCGCCATTTTCTGTCTGTTTCCCGCCAATTTTTGTTGGTTTCCCGCCATTTTCTGTCACTTTCCCACCAGTTTTTGTCAATTTCCCGCCAATTTTTGTTCATCTC